AAGTAGTCTCAAGGTCGGCACGGGATCTGGGATATGATTCTTTCAATGTTTAATTTTAAGGTCAGCACCCGATCTGAAATATGGTTCTTTCAGAGTGTAGTTTAAAGTTCAGCATGAGATCTGGAATATGGTTATTTCAAAGTGTAGTTTCAAGATCAGAATGGGATCTGGAATATGGTTATTTCAAAGTGTAGTTTCAAGATGAGCACACGGTCTGGAATATGGTTATTTCAAAGTGTAGTTTCAAGATCAGAATGGGATCTGGAATATGGTTATTTCAAAGTGTAGTTTCAAGATGAGCACACGGTCTGGAATATGGTTCTTTTAAAGTGTAGTTTCCAGATCAGCATGAGATCTGGAATATGGTTCTTTTAGAGTGTAGTTTCAAGATCAGCATGAGATCTGGAATATGGTTCTTTCAGAGTGCGATTAACTCTCAGCATACACATATGATAAATGTTTAAATAGTCTTCACATGGTTCTTCACGTTTCTATATTTACTATAATTTGTTTTGGTCAAGTGTAGTAATAATAAAACACACCTATTATTCCAGATAAAATAAACATCACTTTCTTTTAGACAATCTTCCGTCATTGCGGATTCATCGCAAAGCTACACAGTGGGCTATCTGCGCTCTGTACACCGCGGGGATTCGAGCCCCGGATTTTAACGTTGCAAGCCCCTAAACTTACCATTCACTCACCGGGGGTACTTTTTTTTTAGTAATTTCCTTGAATTTTTCGCCACGTCAGGGCTTCTTTTTTTAGTAATTTCCTTGAATTTTTCGCCACGTCAGGGCTTCTAATATTTAGAATCGAGCCTTGTGACATATAACGTCCGAATCACAACGCATATCTGAATAAAAGGTTAGTTGTAGATCTTTCTGCTCCCCTCCCCCCGTGGCTCAGTAGTAACCTCGAGGACTTATAACCATATAAAATCAGTGTTCGATACCCGCGGAGGGCACAACGCAGATAGCCTATTGTGTAACTTTGCGCTTTAACACAAAATAAACAAACCACACAACATCTTTTAATTTAAATTCTTAACGATTAAAAAAACAAAAACAAGAACAACTAATAACTTAGTCTTTTATTTAATAAAAGTTGGAGGTATTTTTAGTTGATTTTATAAACGAACCTAATCCTCTTTGACACAATTACAACTTATAGAACCTTACCGTTCAGAATGCTGAACCGGAATTAATAAAATACTTTGTATGATGAGTCATATATTAACCAAATAACTGGGCAGGAAATTTCAAACAATAATTACTGTTAGTAGTGTTTTTGCCTAAAAGCGATCACGACAAAATTAGTTTTGACGATGTTTCTGCTTCAAGAATTAAGATAAGTCACGTTTGACATACAATTATAAATTAGTTTTACGTCTGCAGGGAGTCTTTTCAACGAAGCGGACCAGCTTGTCCGTAAAACATGTTAAATGATTGAAGCATAGGCCCTAGCCAAGTATGAGGAAAATTTTAAATTCAACCTAATAACAATTACTTCTTGAGATTGTAATACCATAACAAATACGCTATTTCCGTTTGCGGATAAATGAAATGTTACTTCCAGGAGGCATTTGTAAGCATTTTGTAACTTATTTGTAAAAGCACTTTGAAGTTGAGGCTTGATATGTGTATGTGTGTGTCAGCGGTATGAAATCGGGTCTTGTCAAAATTATGACACATTTCATTAAACGAATTTCTAGGTATTTGTGAAGCCTTTTTTAGATTTGATATTTCATTACCATCGCCGGTTAAGAGGGCGCCCCAAGGAAACAGTATTACAGTTAATGATGGCGTTGCACGCAACGTTTTTTTTTTTTTACTGTATTGACTGGCATTCAATTCTTAGAAAGAAACGACAGCTTTTACTGAAATGAAAATGTTTTATGTTTGTTTTATCTATACCAGAGAAAATGAATTCACTGTGCATTTTTACTGACGAGGGAGAATCTTACACTTGAAGCCATGAGCGCAAAGCTTAGATACTGGTGGTGAGTCGAACGATAGATAAGGTTTAAAATTTATCTTTAGTAGCTTAAACAGCTTGTCTGCTGAATAATGCTAACACGTAATAATTAAGCATTTTCCAGTTGTAATACTGTTAATAAACGACATCCCAACTTCTTGGTGTTATGAAGATAGTTACAACGTCATTGAATTAGTTCCGTGAGATCAGTTGGCACAAAGCAACATAATTTATTTTGTTTTCGAATTCTGGCGCATTGCTACACAAGGGCTATCTACGTTAGCCGTCCCTAAGTTTTGAAGTGATGGGCTAGAGAAAAGACAGCTAATCAGCAATACCCGCCGCCAACTGTTGGGCTACTCTTGTCTGTTCGAATAGTGGGATTGACCATCATCCTTATAACGTTCTCAGAGCCCCAAAGAGTGGAACGCGATTCTCCATTTTTATTTCTTTGATGGTAACGGGACGCGAACACTGTACCACACACCAATCACTGGGTTGCGCTCAACTTAGCAGTATAGGTAACACTCACAGAATAGTTAAGCTTATTTCATTATAATGTTGTTAATTAACAACAGCTCAAACCCCCTCATTGCTCCGTGGGCCGTTGTGGTGAGTTAAACCAGTAACTAAGTTCATTGTGGTAAGTTAAGACAACTGAAAACTCCACACATGTAAGATGGAAATTTTAATTTATAAAAAGCATTCGTGTGGTATGTTAATTACAAAATGATTCATTTCTTTCTTAACATGATGTTACGTTATGATCACGTACTAATGGCAGCAATTTCGTTAAAACTAAAATTAGTACGAAATTAAGTTCGTACTATGTAATTTCAGAAATTCTTCTAACTTTGTCTGAAATCAGCTATTAGGAAGGTAAAAAGAGGTTAGCCTAAATATTTTGTGTTTCTATAGAAAACACAATGATTCTCAGTAATTACTTGTAATATTTGTATAAATGTATTAGATATAGGGAAATGATGTTGCAAACATTAAAAAGAATCTTATTTGTCCTTTTTTTCTTTACGGAACACAAATTTAAGTTTGTAATTATCTATGTTCAGTTAAGAAATCTGGATTATTTTGAATAGTTGCTATAAGATTGGTTTGTTTGAATTTCGCGCAAAGCTACACGAGGGCTATCTGCGCTAGCCGTCCCTAATTTAGTAGTGAAAGACTAAAGGGAAGGCAGCTAGTCATCACGACCCACCACCAACTTTTGGGTTACTCTTCAACTAACGAATAGTGGGATTGACCGTCACATTATAACACCCCCACGGCTGAAAGAGCGAGCATGTTTTGTGGGAGGGGATTCGAACTCGCGAGACGAGCGCCCTAACCACCTGGCCATGCCAGGTCTTGCTATAAGATCAAGTCATGTTTCACTAAACACTCACAAACACCTGTCGTATTTCGGCTGTCCTGACGGGTTCTGATATTGGCCGAAAAGACTCGTCGGCACTGGATATTGCAGATATATTGTGATTGACATATTATTACATATTCTTCCTCGCTTGCACTCATAAGTTCTTAAAATTACTAACGGGATTTTATCCCTTTCACGCTGTGGGAACATGAAGACTAGCTCACTGGTTGGCCAGTTCTTCTGAAAGTTGGTGAAGTTTATTCAAGATTCGCCAGTCCTTCTGAATGATTGTGAAGTTAATTCAAGATTCGCCAGTTCTTCTGAATGATGACGAAGTTAATTCAAGATTCGCCAGTTCTTCTGAATGATGGTGAAGTTAATTCAAGATTCGCCAGTTCTTCTGAATGATTGTGAAGTTAATTCAAGATTCGCCAGTTCTTCTGAATGATGGTGAAGTTAATTACAGATTCGCCAGTTCTTCTGAATGATGACGTAGTTACTTCAAGATTCGCCAGTTCTTCTGAATGATGGTGAAGTCAATTCAAGTAATAAATAAATAAATAAAGGTGTTAGTATTCGTTACTTTAATTCTGGTTTGTAAATTAGAAATATAGTTGATAATAATTACAATCCGCTTATTTAATCTAGTTCACTCTATAACAGTTGTTGTTTGTACAATTTGATAACACAAGTAGCTTCTCGGTCAATCCTAGACGGCCTCATGATCTTTGGTATTGAGTGAAAGACCTCGTCGGCAAGTGGATATGACAGATGTAGTGCGGTTGACGTATCATTACCAATTCTTCCTTGCTTTCATTCACAAGTTCTTAATTCTTAGAGCTATAATTAGTTATGTTATGAATAGCCACTATATGAGTAAAATCGTGTTTCACGGAACAGTAACATATAATACTGTAATTAGATACGTTCAATTTAGGAATTTGGATTGTTCGTTTTCAAATGCCACGTTTCTTTGTTTGGATACCAAGAGCACTGAAACTTAAGCTCATAGAATATGTGAAATGGATAGTTTCAGTAAGGTTTGTAATTCTAATGTTGTCAACAAGAAAATCTTCACAAACTTAACATTTTCAAACAGGGAAAGTTTGTTTACTTTACGGAACGCAAATCTATCCTTCAGTATTATACTAACTAGTGCTTTATCATGCATAAATATAATTGGCAAACATAATTACCGACACTGATACAGAATCTCTGTTTAATGAGCAATGATCGGATGGGTACTGTGTCATAGAAACGTTCGCCATGATCTGATAAATCCTCAATTTCTACGTAAACAAAGTTGACTTGCTAAGGTTGATTTACAAATGGACAAGGAAAGTAAACAATATTACACCCACTGGAGAAGCACTTAAAACAACTCGCCAATGTCTAAAGTGCAGCTTATTATGTTTTAGGGATGGCGCAAATATGGTTTTAAAATTTACGATCAAAACCGTTTTTTTTTGTGTTGTTTATCAAAAAAACATCTTATTTTTACAACCCGTTTTTCACTTTGATCGTCTCAAAAAAATCAAAAAAAAATCAGCGAATTCTTGAAGAGAAATAACACATAGAATAAAAATAAATAAATACAATTATTTTTTCAATAAACATCACCACAACTATAGAAAAAATACATTTTTCTTAAAGTTAGAAACCTATAATATACATTATAAATGCTCCATTGTGCCGCCATTTTTAGAATATCAACCGAAATCTTAATTATCGGTTACAACTCGTTGACGTACCAACAGTTTCATTCCACGAAACCACCACGTCTGTGGGAGGTCTTTTGATCGCTCTATTTTTTTTTCAGTTTAAGTTTCTTTAAGTCTGATATTCTAATATGATAGAGGGCGTGCCTTCTGCGACTGCTGCCTCGCTCGCGTCGCCAGCTGCTCCTTTTCTTGAGTCTTCCTCCTGCTGTCGCATCGGTTTTTGGCGGGAAACGACCACAAAGATAAGTGAGAGTGCCGAACATAACGAACCCAAGAAGTGAAGGAATGAAAGCCATACCCTTCATAGAGAGTGGGTAATTAAGATAACGAGAATTCATCAGCATGTCGTCCTCCACGTACGTCCTATTGGTCTCCGGATTGATGGTAGTCGATCTCACTTCGTAGGTCCACAAAGTTGCATTACCTGTTCACATATAAACAGTTGCGCAATGAGACGTTTTATAGAAAGAGAAAACTCAGGTGGTAAACGAAAAGTTAAAATCAACTACAAATAAATAAATAAATAAAAATAATTCTGGTAGAAATACACAAAACTCCTCATCACACGGAGTTCGTTCCTCTTAGAAAGTTACTCGAACATCTTACGTTTGTGATAATGTCCACACAAGGCGCCAGTCTGTCTTCTTCTATAACAAAATAAATAAATAAAGTTCAATGCTTTGTCTCCCGGTGAGACAACGGCGAGTCTACGGGGTTACAACGCTAAAATCAGGAGTTCGATTCCCCTCGGTGGACCCAGCAGATAGCCCATATTGTGGCTTTGCTATAACAAAACACAAACACGCATGACGTACTTTATATAACTTACAAACATATTTGTTAATGTAACTCTACGCAAAATACTTCGAAATATTTGTTTTTCAAAACCTGCAAATGTCATTGTTCATAGTTTGTGTTAACGTAAAGGTGTTGTGTTCTGTTAATCAACACTAAGAGCACTTCATTTATAAGGCTATAAAAAAATTGTTGTTGTTGTTTGTTTTAGAGCAAAGCCACATTATGTCATCTGCTGTGTCCACCGTGGGAATCGAACCCCGGATTTAAGCGTTGTAAGTCTGTATATAATTATATGTGCAATTGCTGCTAAACAAACGATGAGTTTTCTTTTAAAAAATACCTTTATTTTAATTTAAAACCATGCTGTGCTCAACACGGGTATCGAAACTTGGTTTTTAGCGTTATAAGTCTCCAGGTTTATCGCTGAGTTACTGGGGGAGGGCTGTTTTTGTGATATAATAATGTGTATGTTGCTACTAAATGGGCTATCTGTGCTGTGCTCACCACGGGTATCGAAACCTGGTTTTTAGAGTTATAAGCCTCCAGGTTTATCGCTGAGTTACTGGAGGAGGGCTATTTTTGTGATACAATAATATGTATATTGTGTACTAACGAAAGGATTATATTCATGCTTAATTGTGTATAAATTTATGCGGCTCAGCAATAAACTTGCGAACTTTTACGCTATAAATCGTGGTTTGATACCCGAGGTGGGCACATAGCCCATTTCGTGGATTTGTGCTTAAACAGGAAACAAACAAACACGCGTCACAACAAGTGTTACTAATTGAATAGAGTTGTATAAACATTTGTTTAACAACAAATAAAAGCTTGGAATAGTCTATACTTTCATTGGGGGGGGGGGGGGGTGTCTGTGAGCCAGACTAGTTTCGGAGAATTCCAATCCTCATCAGTAACCCTGGACACTACCACCAATGAAATATCAGACCAAACCAAGCCTTTATATTTGTGAGGTATCGAAAATCTAAATGGTGTATTTTAAGTGTTTTACACTCACAAAAAGAACCTATCATTCTATAGGTATTTGAAGAATTTGTAGCATTCCGCCACAATTTAATTCGATTTTCGAAGTGTTACTAAAGTATCACGGAAAATGTAGTTGATAACCAAATGAACAACTCATTAAATACTAGCCTGACTGACAAGCGATTCGTGATACATCGAAAGAGCTACCACCCAAACTAATATTTATTTTTCTTTTTAACATCAAAGCTACACAATAGGCCATCTGTGCTCCGCCCCAGTGGGTATTAAACCCAGAACGTTAGCGTTGTAAGCTGCGAGACTCACGTTTCTTTACTGTTTATACACATATAAATTTTTATCGTCTTCAAAACCTTTTTGGCACAGTGAAATAGTTTTGGCTCATCTTCAATTCAGTTTATTACATACAAGTTAAAAGTCAATAAATTGGTGCAGGATGGCTACTAACTGAAACTAAATTTTGATAGATTTTTCTTTTACACCTGGCGACCCAGAATGGCATCATTTATAAATTTAAATTACCGACTAGAAGGTCACTCGTTTTTTTACCATTTGTAAAACAGGGCATGCAGGATAATTCAATAATCCTGTTTTTCACACTATCCATTTTTTTATCATATCTATTGCTTACACCCCCCTTCATTTGTTTACTGAAATTTTTGGTTGATTTATTTCATATATCACTGTTTTGGGTCTCATATTGACATCAATGGTTAATTTTATTTAGGTCTTATACTGGTATGATTGGTTGATTTCTCTCATATACCACTGTTTTGGGTCTAATACTGATATCGATGGTTAATTTTATTTAGGTCTTATACTGGTATGATTGGTTGATTTCTTTCATATACCACTGTTTTGGGTCTCATACTGATATCGATGGTTAATTTTATTTAGGTCTTATACTGGTATGATTGGTTGATTTCTTTCATTTATCACTGTTTTGGTCTCATACTGACATCGATGGTTAATTTTATTTAGGTATTATACTGCTATGATTGGTTGATTTCTTTCATATACTGCTGTTTTGGGTCTCATACTGACTTGGTTGATTTTATTCACTTACTACTGTTTTATATCTTATACTGGCATTGATGGTTGATTTCACTCATGCATTACTATTTTAGATTTCATACCAGCATGATTGGTTGATTTTGTTCATACTGGCAACGTTGGTTGAATTCATTCATATACTACTATTTTGTGTTACGTACTGGCAGCTAATGATTTCATTCCAATGTTTGCATTGATTTGTTTTGTATAACTATTCCCCCTCTCCATGGATCAACGGTAAGGTTAACGTCTTTTAACGCTAGAATTCGGTGTTCTATTCCTCTGGTGTCGCTTTGCGCTTGACAACAACAAAAACAAGTACCGTATTTTTCGGTGTTATTATAAGACGCACTTTGTTACCCCAAAATTTGATGTCAAAATCTGCTTGCGTCCTATACACCGAAGGTATGAATAATATATATATGTATACATACGATATACACAAGCCATGTGTAAATATATCTAAATGGGCATGCATAGTTTAGTTCAATTGAATGTGTTATTTATAACAATAGTAC